GCGAGAAGGGGGTGGGTCCCTTGCTTCCTGAGTCCGGGCTGGGAGTCCCAGGGTTCCCCATCCTTAGGCCGAGGCTGGGGGAAGATGCCGGGCGTCGGGGGTGCCGGCACGGGCCGGTGCCCGCCCTGTTGGGGTGCTACTTTCCCCGCACCTAAAACCACGGCGCTTGCTTTGTGCTTTGCAAGGTCTGTTTGAGTTCTGGATTTCGACGTTGGTTGAGATGTTCCCGCAGAAACTGGTGAATGGGTGGGGGCCCTTTAGGACCACCCCTCAAAAAACAAGTCTCCAGGCCAATGCTTTTCCTTCTTCCCCCCAGAGAAGAGGAGGCGAGAGGCCATCACTGCAGCAACCTGCCTGACTGAAGCGTTAGTGGATCATCTCAATGTGGGGTAGGAGCCTCTTCAACACCGGCATGGGGCTCCCGAGCCCTAATTTCAAGCACTGCAAGGTCTAGACCCAAGACTGCTCTGGAGAGACTGATGAGTTCCACTCCCGCTCCCTCCTCTCCTCTCCTCTCCCCACCCAGCCTGACTGTGCAGGAGGCTTGAGTCAGCTCTGACCCCTAACACCGGGCAGGGAGGAGCAGCCACAGTGGTGGAGATGCAGCCAGATCCCCCTCCCCACAGTGGCTTTCCTGGTGCTTACAGCTGGTGCCATCTGCCCACCTCCCTTCACCAAGTCCAGCTGTCACTTCAGCAGGAGGGCAGGCACCCTCCTTCACCACAGCTACCATCCTCTGCTCTCCACCTCCACTCTGGCAGGCCTGGGTAGCAGCTGGCAGGAAAGAGCTGGCACAGCTGGTAAGAGGGAGGGCAGAACTCGTGCCAGGAGCTGCACAGAGCCAGGCTGCCTCCCTCTCCTGGGTCTCCAAGACCGCCCCCCACTCCAGCCCTAAGTGAGAATGCCGGTCACAGCCAAAAACTTGGAAGGAACAAAGAATATTGTCTCTTGACCCTGAGTCACCCGGAAGGCTGCAGAGAGGCGATCTGATAGACGCCTGTGGGAGAAGGGGCACATGATGCCCCCACCCCAGAGCAAGAGCAGAGCTCGGCTGCAACCCCAGAGCCTCAGTCACCCAAGTGAGCCACGCAGGGCTGGTCATCGTGGCGACTCCTCTCTGGGCAAGAGGCCCGTGGAGGGGGCCTCACCCGGGCCTCCAGGCGCCTCCCTCCACTCGGTGTGAATGGTGAAAGCGGATGAGCAGGCGCTGGGCTCTCCAGCTCCCAGAGGCCCCCTGGAAGCCCTCGGTGCCCGCTGCTGTGTCAGCTCCTACAGCACGCCCTGCCGGGGCCCAGCTGTCCCCCACCGTGGAGGGACAGGTCCGCCCCGTCCTCCCTCTCACATGGCACCTCCTGGCATCTGTGGAGCTGGCCGAGGCCGCCCTGGCTTGGACGGCAGCACGGCCAGCGCCAGATTAGAAAGGGTTTTGTGTTGCTGCCCACCACCTCTGGTTCCCGGAAAGCAAAACAAAGACTCGGTCTGTCTCTGCCTCTGCCCGTCAGGTGTCCTGCCCACTCTCTTGACCCCCCCCAACCCATTGCCCCCACCAGCCTCCTCAGATTCCGGTGGGTGGGGACACCGGATGCAGCGTCTCCCAGCCCCCCAGCACGGGTGGGGAGTGAAAGACTCATCAGCCAGTAAGGAAGAGTCACCGCAGGGGTGTGGGGACAGGAGAGCACGGGCAGAGACGGGGTGCCAGCCTAGGGCAGTAATGGGGCGCCCTTCACTGGGGAAGAGGAACCGGGGCCTGGAGCAGGAAAAGAGAGGGAAAGTGTGTGCGTGTTCGCTCATCTGTGTGGGCGACTAGAGAAGGGTGGGGAGAAGGCTGGCAGCCAGAAGCAGCCCTTGGGATCTCTTCTCTTGACCCTGAGTTCCTGAGGAGGGGGTTGCTCTCCCCTCCACCCCAGATCCAGGGAGGGGCCCGGTTTCCCTTCCCAGCTCGCTGTGGGTCCTGCGCTTCCCCTCACTGCCAAATGTAGCTTCCCAGCTTCCCCCCACCCCAGCTGCATCCTCTGGCGCTCCCCCAGGTTAACCTCCCTTCTCCCACCCAGCTTTGGGATCTCCGCCTGGGGGGCGGGAGATGGTATGTTCTAGTCCGCTCCCAGCTGGCCTCTCTGGGATCCCCAGGGAGGGAGGAGGCTGGGTTCCTGCGCCTCACCTCCAGGATGGGCCCTCCCCGCGCTGGGTGACTCCCTCCTCCCTCCTCCACCTCTAGCGTGGCCCAGGCCTACATGAACCAGAGAAAGCTGGACCACGAGGTGAAGACCCTGCAGGTCCAGGCTGCCCAGTTTGCCAAGCAGACCGGCCAGTGGATCGGGATGGTGGAGAACTTCAACCAGGCACTCAAGGTGGGCACATTCCCTGCGCCCCGCTGGCGGCCTGCAGTCAGGTCAGCCAGGGTGGCTAGGAGTAGGAGTGGCCGCAGAAACCATCCCTGGCCCCAGGGTCAGAGAAGCTGGAGAAATAAAAGCAGCTGGCGGGTTCAAGCAAAGCCCTTTCCAGGGGATGAATGGAGAGTACCCCCCCACCCCGTCTCCCTTAGACCCACACTCCACCCACCCTGATGTCTGGGCGCCTCCCCTTCTCTCCCCAGGAAATCGGGGACGTAGAGAACTGGGCTCGGAGCATCGAACTGGACATGCGCACCATTGCCACGGCGCTGGAGTACGTGTACAAAGGACAGCTGCAGTCTGCCCCCTCCTAGGCCCACCCCACCGGCCCCCCAAGGGACGGGAGGGAGGTTGACAGCTGCCAATAAAATACAAGCTTCCCTTCCTGGTCGTGTGTTGCAAGGAGCACTGGCGGCCGGAGCGGAGGCCCTGGGTGGTTTCCCTGGAAAGGCCGGAGCGCCCGCCGCTGCCTCACGCCAACCCACTCTCCTCGGCCAGGCTCAGGCGTCTGTCTGCCCCTAACTAGAGGTGGGACTTGCCCACACTCGCCAGAGGAGGCCCTAGCGAGCTGTGCTGCGGCCTCCTGCCCAAGGCGGGGAGCTGGCCGCTCTCCCGGCCTGGCACTAAGCGGTGTCATGAGTTGGGGCCAGGCCGGAGATTAACTCCAGACTGGGGCCACTTCAGGACTGGGGAAGGGGAGGGATGGCAGGTCCACGCTCGCCAACAGGTGGGGGCGGGGGCGCGGTGAAGGAGGTGGTCAGAACAGAGGCCGCTCCTAGGAGTGCGGCCGCCTGACCTGTGCCTGGCCCTGGCCCTGGCCCTGGCCCGCCCCGTCCGGCCTTTGAACACCAAACACCTCTGGCGCCCGGCTGCCAGCTGCGGACTTTGGCCCTCGGGTCCAGTGTGGGAGCCGGCGGCGGGCGCAGCCTCTCAGGGAAGCAAAAGCAGCAGCCGCGGGCATCTGGTGCCTGCTAGCTTTCCCCTGAGGAGGTAGTGGGGTGCTGGGAAGGGGGTGCGGTGAGAAAACCAGCAAAGCAAACGAGGACAGTGACCAGTGCGCCTGGGGTGTGAGCCCCAGGTAGGCGGAGGCTGCCGGGTCAGGTCTCGGCATCTCTTGGGACTGCGGGGCCTCGGGCCTCACGGCCCGGCTTCCGGCGAGAGTTCAGCCACCCCTGGTTAAGGGGACCGCAGCAGCTGGCGGCCATCCGGGCCACCGTCCACCCGCTGGGCCGAGACGCGGCCCCGCCCGGCCCGCCTGCTGCCCGCGCCCCGGCCGGCCATGTGCCTGCTGCTGCTGCTGCCCAGCGCCCTGCTCCTGCTCGCGGCGGCGCTGTGGTGGCTCCGGGACCGGCGGCGCCTGCCCGCCAGCGATGCCTTCGTCTTCATCACCGGCTGCGACTCGGGCTTCGGGCGGCTTCTGGCGCTGCGGCTGGACCGGCGAGGCTTCCGGGTGCTGGCCAGCTGCCTGACGCCCTCGGGGGCCGAGGGGCTGCGGCAAGCGGCCTCCTCCCGCCTCCGCACCACCCTGCTGGACGTCACTGATGCCGAGAGTGTGCAGGAGGCCGCCAGGTGGGTGCAGACACAGGTCGGGGGAGCAGGTGAGTGTGGCCGGGCCACCGGCTGGTCGGGCCGTGGGAGCCAGGGAGGGGTGCTGAGGGGCAGCTGGCCACCCCCGGAAGGAGAGGGGCCTGCAGCGCCCCACCCCCGCCGCCTCCCCCACAGGGCTCTTCGGCCTGGTGAACAACGCTGGAGTGGCTGGCGTCATCGGGCCCACGCCGTGGCTGACGCAGGATGACTTCCAGCGGGTGCTGAGCGTGAACACGCTGGGCCCCATCGGGGTCACCCTGGCCCTGCTGCCCCCGCTGCTGCAGGCGCGGGGCCGGATCGTCAACATCACCAGCGTCCTGGGTCGCCTGGCGGCCAACGGTGGGGGCTACTGTGTCTCCAAGTTTGGCCTGGAGGCCTTCTCGGACAGCCTCAGGTGAGGGGTGCGGGCTCCCCGCCCAGGGGTGGCCCGCCCCTCCCGCCAGCTGTGGCTGCGCGGCGGAGAGGCCCCGACGGCACAGTGCCGTGAGGAGACACGTCAGAGCGAGTCTAGGCTGGATTTCGGGGTTCAAACCCCAGTCTTCTCTCACACGAGCTTCGTGACCTAACGGGCCATCTCTCTTCACCCACCTTACCCCTCATCTGCTAAATGGGGGTGAGAAGACCTGCGTGGGGGTGTTGAGGTGCGTGGACGGCCCGGCGGTGCCGGGCCCGCAGACGATGCCCGGGAGCTCGTCCCAGTGTCGGCACAGCGGCCACCGACACTGGCGCCCGTCCCGACACTTTCACATCCGTTCTCCCAACAGCCCTAGAGCAGCGAGCCGTAGAGTGACTCTTCCAAGCCCGCACAGCTCATCGGCCGAGACGCGGGCCCCTCCACAGCCCTCTGCTGGCCCGGAGACCCGCTCCGCAGGTTCTCCCGGCGAGGACGGCGCCCACGGCGGGCGCCGGGCCGGCGTGTCCCGCAGGCCACACAGGCCACGCTTCGTACTCCTGGGCTTGTGCCTCTCTGCCGAGCCGGTCTGCCCCCTCCCCACCCTCAGCAAGTACTAGGCTGAGCCCTCGACTCCAAAACAAAGCACTCAACCCTGTCTGAGAGGGGAGACTTGGCAAACTGGTTCTCAGGCCCCCCCGACCCACCTGGAACCAGCTAGTCACGGTTTCTACACTCGCAAGTCTCTGTCACTCACCTCCAGCCTGCGGTGGCCACGGCGTTGCCCACCAGCTTTGCCGACACTGGCTCTAGGCCAGACTGGCAGGAGCCTCAGGGGCTCCCTCCCCACACAGCTGTTTGATAACTCGCCCGTCTGACCCCCAGCCATGTCCCTGAGGACCCTCTCCCCAGAAGGGCGAGAACACAGACCCCTCTGTCCCCTCTCCAGGAGGGACGTGGCTCCTTTCGGGGTACGAGTATCCATCGTGGAGCCTGGCTTCTTCCAGACCCCGGTGACCGACCTACAGAGCCTGGAGGGGGCCCTGCAGGCCTGCTGGGCACAGCTCCCTGCGGCCACGCAGGCCCGCTACGGGGAGGCCTTCCTCGGCAAGTGTGAGTCGCTGGGCCCGTGTGGGTGTAGGGGGGAAAGGGGGTGCCGGGGAGGCCAGTCCTGTGGCTGTGCTGGGAAGAGGGGGCAGGGCGCCGGGTGAGGAGACGCCCCGGCGGGCAGGGAGCCAAGGCGCCGCCACCGCTGCTGGGCACTGACCACAGCCCCCGGCTGCAGACCTGGACGTGCAGCGGCGTGTCATGAGCCGCATCTGTGACCCCGACCTCGCCAAGGTGGGCAGGTGCCTGGAGCACGCCCTGACCGCCCGGCACCCGAGATCCCGCTACAGCCCCGGCTGGGACGCCAAGCTGCTCTGGCTGCCAGCCTCCTACCTGCCAGCCTGCCTGGTGGACGCTGTGCTCACCTGGGTGCTTCCCAAACCTGCCCAGGCAGTCTGCTGAGTCAGGAAGGCCTCTGCTTTAGTCCTGTGCCCGCCCTGTCACCACGGCCGGGTGTGGGCGCCGAACTGGCACTCAATAAACGGGTTGTCAAGAGTGAAAGTGAAGGACGGTGACTGGGCAGAGGCAAAGACGCCCTCGGGACCCTGAGCCCGCCCCACTGTTAGCTACCCAGCCTGACCAGGTCCAGGCGCCGGCCTCTCAGTGCCCGGTCTAGGATCCACTAGGGGGACAGGAGGGGCTGGGGCGTGTCTCTAGGCGACGGCTGAGCTGCACGCAGAGGCTCGGCCATGAGAGGGCACTCCTGGGTGTCTCTAGGCGGAAGGCGACACTGGTGTGAAGGGGAAATAGCCACTATGTCACTGGGGGTGGGGGACAGGAAGAGTAAAGAAAGGTCAAGGTCAGCGTGGATGGTTTCCATGAAAAAAGAGCAGCTTCCTAGTGTGCAGTGTGTTCGATCCCCACCCCAGGTGACCCCAGGGCGCAGCAGGCCTCTCCTGCCTCCCCGCTGCCCCCTCAGCAGTGCACTTTGTCCGTCTGCCTGTTCGGCTCCCCGCTCTGTCTCTGGCGAATCCTCTCACCGCCCCTGCACCTCTCGCCTGTACCCCAATCTGTGTGCATAAATAAAAATAGAAAAAAGTACAGCGCCCACCTGAGTCCCTGTCCCCTAATCAAGAAGGGTAGGCGCCCGCCGGTCTCACAGCCACACCTCACCACCCTGAGAGGACCCCTCAGAGGGCAGAAAGCCAAGGGGGCAGCAGCGGCTCACCGCTCCCAGACGGGGCCTCTGGGGCCTCCCGGCTGACTCGAGTCGGCTCCGTGGTCAGCCGAGCTCTGGCAGGCAGGTCCGGGAGACGGCACGGGGCAGAGCCCACCCGCCTCGCCTGCCCCCACTGCCAGCCCACCAGTGCCCTCGGCCAAACCCGCCTTTCCCGGAGCAGGAAGGACGAGTGCAGACAGGGACTCCACTGAGGAAGGGGACGCGGTGAAGTGTCGCTCTAAGGCTCACCAGACTGTTTTCAGTCTGAAAAAATAATGTTTTATTGAAAAACCGGGAGTACGCCACGCCCCTAGACGAGGGGGCTGAAGGGACAAGACCCTACATCACTTCATAGCCACTTCGGATACTCCTGACAAGGCAGCAAGCCAAGACAACCCCCAGGGCCTGGAAGGGGAGACGCGGGTCAGGGGGAGAGGTCAGAGGGCAAGCCACCCCGATCCACCCAGGGTACCCCAAACACTAGGGCTCCCCCCACTGGCACCCTCCTCCTCCCCGCCCCGTCCCCCGGGCGCCTCTCACCTCCACAGCAGCGATGCCGAGGGCCACGCCGGCCACCACCAGCACGTTTTTCCTCAGCCAGACCCCAACCTTCTCCACGCAGCCCTGCAGAGGCCAGGAGGACACCCTCAGAAACTTCCCACTGCGCCCCTACATCCGTCTCCCACCCTCCGCACCCTTTCTCCATCCCCAGCCCCCAACCTCCCAGGGTCACCCGCTGTGAAACACCCTGGTCGGGCTCCCCAAGCCCCTCCCGCGGCCGCCTCCTACCTCCCTGTAGATGTCCTCCACTTTGAACTTGTCCCCGCAGCCCTGCGTGACGTTCCGGCAGCAGGAGTCGGGCACCCGCTCCTTGCCCATGGCGGGGATGTGCTCCCAGTCCGTGTAGTTAACAGCCCCGCAGCACTGAAACTGGGCGCAGGCAGGTGGGGCTCGCTGCCCCGCCAGTCTCCCCTTCAGCATGGAGGTGGGCTCTGCCCGCACGCCGCCCCCCACTCACCTCCTGCTGCACCTTGTCCAGGACCAGAGCTGTACGATTGTTCCTGGGATAATCCTGCATCTGCTTCCGGAAGTTCTCGTTAAATTCTGACATCACCTGGGAGTACAGAGGCTCATTGTTAGAATTCAGGGCGCCTGTGTCCGGAGCGGCCGGCCACCCAGGGGTACCCCCGCGCCCGCTCACCTTATTCCTGAACATGTAACCGGCAATAGCAGTGGCCACCTCCACCAGCATGATGAGAGACAGGAAGATGGCGAACTGCAGGCACAGGGGCCGGACTCAGCTCGGCCTCTGGGCGAGAGGACCCGGGCGGCCCCCGGCGGCCCCCGGCAGCCCCAGCACCCACGCTGGCCCCTCCCACTCACCGTCATCATCAGACAGTAGTTCTCTTTGCAGGCCCCACAGCAGCCCACAAAGGCCACCAGGAAGAGGAAGGCGCCCACTGCGATGATGACCACGGGCACCAGGGAGCCAGGGGTGGCCCCTTGGTTGACAGTCTGATTCAGGAAAAGCTGGGCCGCCACGCCCACGGTGATCAGCGCCACCGCGCAGGCCTGAGAGAGAGGTCCGGTCAGCCCAGGGCGCCCATGGAGGGCCTGGCGCCCCGAGGCCAGGCCCCCCACCTCGGGAGTCTCACAGGTCTCCCCCAGAGAAGGGTCTCAGGAAGAAGGCAGGCCGGGGCCTGGCTCCCCTCAAGGAGCGCCTCAGCCAGGCGCTGGAGCAAACGCAAAAGGACAAGTTCCAGAAGCCTCCACTGCAGGACACGGTCCGGCTGGCCAGGGGCCGGCCAGGGGCGCCTCCTGCCCAGCGGCTCCCCCCTCCCCTCCCCAGCCGGCCCCTTCCCCACCAGCCCAGAGCAGGGCCCCTGGGGCAGGGGGGCAGGGGGGCAGACAGCCCCGCCAGCCTGGGCTGAAAGCAGGGCAGGAAAGGCGGCCCCTCCCTAGGCAAACAGCTGCTGCTCAAGGAAGGGAGCTCAAGGCCAGCAAGTTGGGGGGTGGGGGGCCGCCCGCCCGACCCCCACCCCGGCAGCTGGGAGGGAGGGGTGGCGGGAGAGGACAGGGCGATAGCATCGGGACGGTTGGCTGGTTGCCCCACTGACCGCTATCACAAGTGCTTGGGTCACCCGACAGGAAGGGCCTGGAGGATGGGGGGCGCTGCGCGGCCGGCGGCCCAACGGG